TGACGATTTTCAGTACCTTGGAGTGTGGATGTGTGTGTGAGTTGGAGTGCTACCTTGAGTGATTGTGTGAGTGGATGTTTGGCCTATAAGTGTGATTATGAATCCTAGTCTTTTAGAACCATGATCCGCTACCGCAAAGCCATCTGAGGTAAACCTGAGTGAGAGTTAGCCCGGAGGTTGCAGCGCGACAACGGCATGAGTAAGGCCGAGCGGTGAGCCAGGACTTACTAAACTTGGAGGCTCATCGACCGCAAGAATGATGATTGCGTGCCACGTGGCAAGTTTCCAGCAATCCCCACGCAGAGGCTGTGCGGCAAGATGACGCTGCATGGTGGATAATCCAAATCTCTCGCGGTCGAACAGGCGACTCCGGTCGGCTGGACTTATGTAGTCGTCCAGGCCAACCGCGGTCGGCAGGTCAATTTGGTTCAGCGAAGCAACTATGGTAAGATGATTAACCATGGTAGGCAGAACTGCGGTATGCGGGGTAACCGCGGTCAAGGGTAATCACGTTAGGGCGGACTATATGTTGTCGGACGTAGTGATCAGCAAAATGTAGTTACTGCTAAATTGGTTGTGGTAGAGTGGTCGTTGTGAATGTGGTCAGGATGAACGTGATCATGGTCGCAGTTTGTTGTTTAACATGGTTGACGTTGAATGTGTTTGATATCAACATGATCGAGATAAAACATGGTTGTCAAGGCAACGCAGTCAACTTGTGACGGTGACGGTGACAGTTGATAGTTGACCAACGGTGACGGTGACGGAATATTCTGTCAAAAATATTTCTCATTTAAATATATGTAAATTGGCTATCGTTGGAAAGATCTCAACGCAAATAGTGCATCTGGACATTTTTCAGGAGCTGAACGATGACTCAAAAGGAGTAAATTGATTCGGAAGCTGTCATTATCTCTCTTTTTGAACGTAGTTGCGGGCGACAGTGATTGCGAGTGACAGACGATAGTTGCGGGCAACGTGGTTGCGGACGACATTGATTGCGCGTGAGAATGAAAGCCAATTTCAAGCGACAATGAGCGATAGAGGTTGCGTGAGACTATGTTTCAGTTCCGGACGATATAGGTCACGGACAACGGATAGTCGCGGGCAACTGGTGGTCACGAGCAACTGAAGTCACGGGTGACGGACGGTATAGTTGGAGGTGACGGTTTTCACAGACAATGTTGATCACTGGTGACGGTTGTCACTGGTGACGTATGGTAAGTTGTGGACAAGGATTTTGATAAGTCGCGGGCAACGGTGATGATAAGTCGTAGGTGTACTTAGTCGCGGGCGACAGAGACGGTAAGTCGCGGATGCAGTTAGTCGTGTGCGACGGTGAGATACAGTCACGGATGATAGTGACGGTGAGAGATAGTCACAGATTACAGTCACTTGCGAGCAACATAGATTGTAAGGTTCATGTAAGTGGATGTGTGTCTTTCAATGAGCATTATTTTTCAAAAGAGTGAAAATTCTCATGATCTTTGTACTGACAAATGAAAATTTTTGTTCACGTATCTAGTTGTGGAGCAGTTTTGATCATTATGTGATTAATGATGAAAATGAGCACCGGTATATAATTGTGGAGCAGTTTTGATCCTTACGTAATTAATTATGAAAATGAGCACCGGTATATAATTGTGGAGCAGTTTTGATCATTACGTGATTAATGATGAAAATGAGCACCAGTATATAATTGTGTAGCAGTTTTGATCATTACGTGATTAATGATGAAAATGAGCACCGGTATATAATTGTGGAGCAATTTTGATCATTACGTGATTAATGATGAAAATGAGCACCGGTATATAATTGTGGAGCAGTTTTGATCCTTACGTAATTAATTATGAAAATGAGCACCGGTATATAATTGTGGAGCAGTTTTGATCATTACGTGATTAATGATGAAAATGAGCACCGGTATATAATTGTGGAGCAGTTTTGATCATTACCTGATTAATGATGAAAATGAGCACCGGTATATAATTGTGGAGCAGTTTTGATCATTACGTGATTAATGATGAAAATGAGCACCGGTATATAATTGTGGAGCAGTTTTGATCATTATGTGATTAATGATCAAGATGTGCACAGTATAAGTTAATTACAGTATTGTGAAGTACAACAATATCATGTGTTTTATCAAACAAGAGTGTATGATAAAATAATTGAATTAGTCAAGATGGATGATAGACTTTGGTGATTAAACTAGTAAATTTTGACAGTAATTGTTATGAATGAGCTAGTCAAGATTGATGACACAATCTAATAATTTAGCTAGTCCATCTTGACGACAAACTCTAATGATTGAGTTAATCCATCTTGACGATAAACTCTGATGATTGAGTTAATCCATCTTGACGATAAACTCTGATGATTGAGTTAATCCATCTTGACAATAAACTCTGATGATTGAGTTAGTCAATCTTGCCGATAAACTCTGATAATTGAGCTAATCAATATTGATGGTAGACTCTGGTGATTGAGCTAGTCACGGTAAATTTTTATGAACTGATACATTGGTCAAAGTTATTTCTATAGAGAAATTCAGGTGATACTGTGCTATCATTCAGGTTGTGTATGGGAAGTGCAGGTAAATTTTGCTAACATAGTATATTTAATTATCTCTTTATATATTTACTCTATCATGTGATGACTACGGTTTAGTTTTAGTTAACTCTCTTGTAAAGAGTGAATTTGTATTAGGTTTCTTTCTAGAACTTACCACAGAGTAATAGGTTACGAGATTTCTATTCTCTGTATGCTAGATGGTAATTTACTTAACTCTTTAAGTTATTACTCTATTAAGTTATGTCTATGGCTTTGTTCTAGTTAACTCTTGTGTAAAGAGATGTACTTTATGTTAGGTTTCTGTCTAAAAGTTCCCGCGGAGAAATAATGTATATTATAGAGGTTACTTTTACTTAACGTGAGTTAAGTGAAAGATTGTTGAGGTTGACTACAGTTAAGTAGTAACCTCAGGTCCCAACTATTTATAGCTGGCATGGTCATCTGGAATGGGAATAAATACCTCAAGGTTCATCTTGTACTTGAAGTTTTTTTGAACATGATACGAAGTAAAAATGCTCGAGTTTTGGATGGACGTAGCACTTGTCTCCGAGGGTGATTCATGATACATATATCTCTCATGAGTTTTTAATGTTTTCTGGGTTTGTCCGTTATCATTGTTTAGCATGATTTTCAAATTTTAAAGTTGAAATTTAATTTTTGTTGGCGTGTTGCACATGTTGTAAAATCTGTATTGATTTGGTTTTTTGTAAAATTAATTTTAATTTTACAAAATTATTATTTTTTCATGTTAATATGACCAAAAAGACTATCAACTATTTAATATATGAGAGATTTGCTTGATGGGAACCCTGCAGAAAGTAATTTACTTGATGGTACCCTTCAAGTTTTGTTTTACCCGATGGGACACCATGAACAATACACCGTCACACATGTTCTAATAACGACTTGAGTTTTAGAGAGAATGCAACAAGTCAACCACGCCCGCGGCTAGAGTGAATTTCGCCCTCCATCACACTCCCTTGATTTTTTTTGTCATTATGTATCCGGCCACTCTCCCATGTGATGAGCAAAGAAATGTTCATCCGAAGGGGACGACTAGACTTGATACGAGCTCCTTATCGCATACGCAGGGTTTCGGAAGTAGGGTGCCGGCGAGAGGCAGCAAAGAATTTCGCGAATCGATACTAATGGGAGAATTGAAACACAACAAAATCCACTTCAGGCAAAATCGATATTTATCCCCGTGATAATCCACCAAAAATTATAATCAGGGATTGAACTTTGTTTATAATCTCCCGCTTTGTAGCTATATTAATCATAGTTACAAGAACTATCGCCGACGACACACAGTCGTCAAGGTTCCATCAGGTAAAATGAAATCTGAAGTATACCTTCAAGCAAACTACAATCCGCATGGGTACTATCAAGCAAATCTCTCTTGATATATTGATAGTAATCTTCGATATACAAAATCATACTAAGATACAAATATATATACTTTTCAAAGAAATTAAATAAAATAATAAAATTTTCAAATTTTAATACAATTTTTAGCAATTTCATTATATTGATTAACACAATGTAATTTTTTATCTTTTTTATTGCATTCTAAAGATTTATTGAAAGTTATAGAATAATGTATCTATTGATTAAAAATTGATCTTAAAGTTTTCTTTTCATTCCATTTTTTACATATATATTTTTCTATGTTTCGATAGAAAACCAGACAGCTTGGGCAGCCTTCATATCTTGGATGTCTCCCCACAATCGACTTGCGCCAGCGGAGCTCAGAACAGCTCGAGCACCGATATCTTCACTGCGACAGGCGCGGGGAAAAAATGGAAATGGATGAGCCGCTGCCCCACAAAAAAACAAAGAAACAGAACAGATAACGAGGAACGGGGAGAAGCAACGGGATTACAGCTAAAGAAAAAAGCCGGCAAATCTCAGCGCCACGTGCTTGGCCGTCCTTGAGTGCGGGAACATTCCCTCGATGTCAGAGAGGTTTCGGCCTCGGCTTCGACGCAGACGCTGAGTTAGTGTTGAGTAGCAGCTACCACAGACAGAAGACAACCACGTCCTCCACTTCAGTCGGCTCTCGGGAAAGCAGTCCTTGTTTAGGACCCTTGCGTATAAAATATGCAGTCCGCGGGGTAGGATCCGAACGGCCCTCGTTGTGAAGGATGCAAGGGAAGTCCGTCCTCCTCCACGACGCTAATGATTGGTGGTTGCCGAAGGCTCAGTGGCGCAGTACGTGCTCGAGAGTCGTCGCCGTGGGCATTTGGAGGGACGTGGACGACCACGAGAGAAAAGTCTCCTCCTGCTCCTCCTCTGGGTCTCGAGTCGTTGGACCTAGCCGTTGGGGGTGGGGGGGAGGGGGGAGGGGGGGTCTGCTGAAATAACCGTTGTCCGCACCCGTTACACGCCGTAGGGACTTTATGCGGCATCGCGCAGACGTACTTTCCGGCCGTTTGACGAAGAGGCGGCCGAGGGACTTTCGTCAGTCCGTTTTTCTTCCGGTCGTCGACTTGATAGAGGTGCCGTCGTGTGCATGCCCTCTGCTCATTGCGCTGAGGCTCCCGATCTCCTCCTTCAACTGCAGCACGCACCAACACACTCGCTCGCTCGATTCGCCGCTTCGAAGCGAGCAAGACGCAGAACACGGGGAAATTCGCATGCGCGCTCTCTTCGCTGGATCCAGCCGGATGAGGAAAATGATCTGATCGACAGAAGAATCTTCAGGGTGCTTTGGAGGTTGAACAACAGTGAAAGGGCGGAATTGGATGCAGCCGAATTTCGCAGACGAATTGAGTCAGATGAGGCAATCAGCAGCAGCAGCAGCAGCTCAAGGACGTCGCGGCACGACGAGTGAGGGGCGTGAGTGAGCTCGAGCCGGAAATTCTGCCCGAGCCTGAAATCTAGAATCCGTCGAGTTCAGGGGATGAGATTGGCACTGTCGAACGAGAGTTGAGGTTCAAGAATCGGATCGTCCGAATCGCCAGGAAGGAACCCAAAAGAGGAAGGACGTCGAGGTCGGAGCTCCGAGGCCCGAGGAGAATTCCAAGATTGCATGTCTCTGCCCGCCCGCATCTCGCATTGGCGTTGCGCTTGGCCGCTTGGAACTGCGGGGGGGCGGCAGTGAGAGCGGTGATGCGCGAAGGATGCACGGCACTGATGGGCTCATCGGTGCATGGAGCGAATGGGTATGGATTTTTGGACGACGCCTCGTTTCAGCACCAGGACATGCCGAAGATCCAATGCCTGGACCAGCACATGGTGTTCTATCCCTCGTCGCCGGGACCGACTCCGAGCATGTCCATGAGCAGAGATCAGAGGTGCAAGTATGCGAAGCCCGAGAGCGAGCTGGTGATCCACGTGCTCGACGACCGAGCGGATGAGGCTGAGGTCTGCCATGCTCGAGACCTCGCGCCCTGGCCCAGCGACGAGGCCGACCGAGCTCGAGGCCCGGACAGCGACTACGAAACCCCGTCGCCCGCGCTGCCCGTCGAGCCCTCGCCTTCGTCCTCGGCCATGGCCAGTCCGGCCGTCTCGCGCTCGCATTCGCACTCGCACTCCCCCGACATCAAGCGCAATACGCCGGAGCCTCGCTCCGTGCTGGACCTGGCCATCAGCCCGCGCGCATCAGCTCGTTCGTCCGTCGCCAACTTCGGGTTCCCCAACGGCGTGCTGGATGTGCACGATTCCTTCTTGAACGACTTCCACCGCGTGGATTCGGGCCATCTTCTGGCGCTGGTCGAAGAGGATTCGTCGCGCTGGGGCGATCCGCCGACGAATTCCGGGGACGAGAGCCTGTCGCAGCAGAACAGCCAGCTGTGGATGGATTCTTTCATCGAGGATTTCGGAGTCAGCTCCACACCGACGTCGCTGCCCGGGCTGGAAACCGAGGGCGAGGAAGCTCGGACGAATTCGTTCGACACGCCCACGTCCACGCCTTCCGAGGGCCATAAGAGCAGCACTTCCGATCAGGACCAGAGCGAGGAGGAAGGGAACGAGGACGCCACGGCCGAAGAGGGGTCGCCGCCGCCTCAGCAGGCGAACAGCGAGCCTCCGACGAGGAAGCCCCATCGCGAGGTCGGGCTCGAGCTCGTGAATCTGCTGCTGGCTTGCGCCGAGGCCGTGGCCACCAAAAGCCTGAGCCTCGTGAATCCCCTGTTCGCGCAGCTGGGCGAGCTGGCGTCCCCCGAGGGCACGTCCATGCAGCGGGTGGCCGCTTACTACACGGAGGGGCTGGCCACTCGGTGCTCGCGCCTCTGGCCGCAAATCTACCAACCCCTCCCCTACAATCTCGATCTCTCGGAAGAGGACAGTCTGTCGGCCTTCCACATTCTGAACCATGTCTGCCCCTACACGAAATTCTCCCACTTCACGGCCAACGAAATCATCCTCCAGGCCTTCGAGCAATGCGACCGCGTCCATGTCATAGATTTCGACATTAAGCAAGGGCTGCAATGGCCGGCGCTATTCCAAAGCCTCGCCGCCCGTCCGGGAGGCCCACCATCGCATGTTCGAGTGACCGGCGTGGGCGATTGCAAAGAGGATGTGCAGGACACCGGCGACAGGTTGGCCGAGTTCGCCGAGGCGCTGGACCTGCAGTTCGAGTTCCACGCCGTGATCGATAAATTGGAGGACGTCCGCCTGTGGATGCTCCATGTGAAGGAGAAGGAAGTGGTGGCCGTGAACTGTCTGCTGCAGCTGCACCGCACCCTGCACGACGCGGAGAGTGGCATCAAGGACATGTTGGGCCTGATCATGAGCACCAAGCCCAAGGTGGTGGCGGTGGTGGAGCAGGAAGCCAGCCACAACGGGCCTTTCTTCGAAGGCAGGTCGCCGAGGTTTCTGGAATCTCTTCAGTACTACGCCGCGGTGTTCGACTCGTTGGACTTGAACATGCCTTCCGATAGCATGGCGAGGATGAAAGTCGAGCAGTTCTTCGCTCGAGAGATTCGCAACATTATCGCCTGCGAGGGCCCTGAGAGAGTGGAGCGCCACGAGAGAATCGAGAAATGGCGCGAGCATATGACCCAGGCGAGGTTTGAGAGTGTGCCGCTGAGCAAACGAGCCAAATCGCAGGCCAAGCTGTTGCTGGAAATGTTCGCGTGCAAGAGCTACACTCTCTCGGAGGACGCCGGCGCTCTGACGCTCGGATGGCGAAGCCGTCCTCTCTTCACTGCTTCGGCTTGGGCCCCCACCAAGCTTTCGTCGTAGATAGTCACTCCATGTAGAACTAGAACGAAATGTACAATAATCCGATGAGTAAGTAGTCAGTTTGTCGTCTGCCTCCGCCGCCTCTTTTATTCTCTTTTCTCATTGGTCTCAGACCCATTCGATACTCATGTTGATACACAACCACACGTACACCCAATTATAAGCTTGCTCTGCACTTCTCGGCGCTGCCGTTTGTCAAATTGGGACAGGGATCGCCGCATTTTGTAAATACGACCTTTTGAAGGAGCTGTATAAACTTTTGTCCCCGTGCATGTGTCACAAAGCCTTCTCCCGCTGTTTCATCTTTCTCTGCGAACACATTTTGGTGTAGACTTTGTGCGCCGCATCAAATGCCCACTGTTTTCGGTATTTCACATGTGTACCACCCTCGTCTCTAAGCGAGTAGGCTGTTCTCCACTAATAGAAAACTACAAACTGAAGTCAATCTTACCATCAATGACTTAGTATTCCACATGTACACAACCACTTCTACTCCTCCAGATATAATAGATGACACATGCAACAGTAGCCTGTGTAACATATCTTCCTCGACCTGACCTTCATCCAGAAACAACTTCGCGTGTGCTCTATTCCGCGAAAACCATTAGGTTCCAAATATCGGTAACAGATCACTGAGGAAGACACCATTCGTGGAACAGTTTCTTCTCTCCGTGTAACATGATACAGTAAACACTTGCAAATCTTTCACTATCAATGAAAATCTGAATACTGCAATGTAGCAAAATATTGACATCTACCTACGTAACAATAAAATTTTGGCTCTCATTTCTTACCTACATCTCTGTAACATCATTGTCAGTGCAGCTGCAGGCACCAAAGAATATTATCAAACTCGCTTATATTCGAAGTGCAGATTCAACATCTAAAATCATGTACATCATGTGGAAGGGCAAATCTTGGTATGTAAAAGTCGTCGTTCCAAAATTCTCCAAGCACTTCGTAAAACTGCGAGGAGCCAATACTGATCACATAGTTTCAACCTAAAAACAGTCAACATTCATTTTGTAATAAATGAATACTTTATGTCAGGCTTCTAATGATACAACGAACCACCCGATTTACTACACAGATCACCTGAGTTCTGAAAGTCCACTTTGAAATTAAGCATGAGATACCTTCGCTGGTCAAACATTGCCAGCAGCAAAGATGTGAAAATGTGGAAAAAATCAGTATATAAGGACTAAGAGGGAAAAACGGAGATATCCTTTATGTATTTGTGAATAAAAAGAATATTCTGACTAGCTCCAGGCACGTCCAAAAATCTAGGGATGTTCTAAACCTAGAGATGGGTTAACCACACTCTGAGCTGAGAAAATCCGTCGTCTCTGGAAGAGAGCTCTAACAATTAAGACTTAAAAGGAGTTAAGCTCGAGAATTTGCATAGTCCAGCACGGAAGCAGGAGCTTTGTTGAGAATATTACAAAGCAGCCGCACATGGTTTCTTTTCACAAATATCCTGCATATCTTGAAGAGCATACTGTACATCCTCGCGGACTGTAATCAGTGGCCCTTCCTGTACAAAAGTGTCGAGGTCGGTCAAACCAAACGGCTTGGTGCTCGTGCACAAGATCAAATCAAAGCTATCGTCAACTCTGCGTACTTACTGGATCAGGAGGGTATCTACTTCAGGGTGCAGGTCATTTATGATTTTCAGTGCATTTTGCAAGTCTTCGATGACCTCGAGTTCATTCTTCATTGAGTCACTTGATGAGTTGTCCTCGGCATCGTGCACATCCCGTACTGCTCGAATAGCAGCTAATAGTTCCTCATGATTGCAATCAGGTGGCAATTCTCCTGTAGATAGGACCTTAGGTTGCGTACTCACTGGCACTTCCTGAACAGAGATTCCAATACTGATTAATTAATTGAGTCCTCCTGCGATCTCTGTGGCAACTGCTACCACATTGAAGTGTATCAGAAGCACAAGGTACTAAGAACCAAGACACATACTGAAGCACCACGATCACTGGGATTGCGCTGCAGTTTAAAATTATAGCTTCAAAAGGTGCAGGCACCAATCGAAATCGAGGAGGAGAAGATTACCTTAGTTACTCCTTCAATAGCGACACTCCATTGCGGTACTCTAACGCCTTCGCTGAGGCCTTCTGACTCGGCGTCGTCAACATCAGTTTTACTGCTCAAATCAGTTTGATCTTCGCTGTATACTTCGAATGTAGGCTGCATAGCACATAAAACAGTTGTTAAGCTACGCATGAAACTAGTTAAATCCTAAAATTGAATTCCAAAATACAATGTCAATGAAAGATGGCATGCTCTCAGTGTTAAACATGGACAGGATAATTTCCCAACAAGAAATATTCAATTCTGTGCCAAGACTTGAGAGAAGGACAGATGTGAAGAGAGGACGTCTCCAAAGTCAGAAACCTCCAATTTGACAAAAGATTTGATCAAGGATTGATTGATTTGAATGATTCTCGCGACTAAAAATGAGCAGAGATTTTCTGCGCGAGGGAAAGTCTGAACCAGAGAGTTTTGAAATTCTGTAAATTTGCACTCCAAATCTTTTCCTCACGAAGGCTGACAAAACCTCGAATTAGACGTCAAGTTGTAATCCACAGGGATACGTTGAAAAGGAAGTTGGAGGACGACCCCATAGTCTTTGTTGTTGATTCCCTACAATTCGTGAAGCTTAATCTTTGAACAGTGCTCTGATAACTGCTTTGAGACTACAGCCGAAGGATCTAAGGTCTTGTTCAGCCTGATAATTATTTCGAAGGTCTAGGCCAAAGAGATAATCGGAATGTCTTGTAGGATCTGATAGATCGTATCATATTCTCCTGAAACGCCAAATTCCTTCGGAATTGAACGTTCACTGACTCTGACCTCTAACGGTCTAACAAGAGCGGGCCACTAAAAGACGAAGTTGCAGATCAGTTCCAGAGGCCCAATCCAAGATCACCTACGGTAAGGATGGGCGACAAATGTACCCTCACATTCACTTCAACTGTGCAAGCAAACTGATGTATCTTCAATCAAAAGAAATCTGTGAACAATGTACCTCTTCAACCGTAGCGCTTTCCACCTGGAGTCCAGCGACATTTTGATCTTCGGCGGTGCTTCCATTTCGCTCGAAGAATAGCAGTTCGTTGCTAGACTGCGACAGATGTGCAGAAAGCCACGATGAGTCTTCTGACTGTAGGATATATCATAATCGCGTTGAGTGAATTAAATCGAAGAACGGTCCTTGTAATATTAATCAAGAGGTGGTGAATGAGCCTTAGCAACCTTAGGTAGGCCGACGCCCATATTGTGGAGCTGCTCCGTGAGTAGAGCCAATTGCACCTCCAGAGCTTTGCTATTCTGCTCCTCGTCTGTTACCTTCTTCCGAGCCGCATGCGCCTCTTGCCGTTCTTTTTCCAGCTTCTCACACACGTCCCGCACTTCGGCATTCTCGTTGAAAGTTTCTCTGAGCTTAAATTTCAGATCTCTAACCTCGTAGCTCTGGGCGTTCAATAGGCGGCCTGCACTCCTTAACCTTTCAATCTGGAATCACGAAGACAATTGCAAGATTTAGCTCAATGAACATGCAATCCTTCAAATGAGGGTGACCATAACACGCGCAGAGGGTGCATTTCAGGTCGAGGTAATTCTACGCCGAATGCATGCACGGAGTATCATGTGAATGAGATTGAAACGATTAGTACCTCATGGTCCTTCTCAGCTAGTTCCTCCTGAAGTTGACTTAGCTGCAGTTCAAGACGCTTGTTCTGCTCCTGAAGCCGTTGCTCGTTTTGCAATACTGAGGAAAGCTTGCGCGATCGAATACTGTCGGCCATTGCCTTGACGGCATTTGATTGACGAGCATCAACTCGGCTCTTGGCAGCAGGCTCATCTTTGACGAGAACATCAGGCTTCACGGGTCTGGAAGGAGGTTTTCCAGATGGAACAGGGGATTTGGCAGCAGAGGCTGCTCTCTTCTCCGTTACCCGCGTTCGAACTCTTTCAACGTCTTTTGGAGCAACAGTCGGAGAACTCAGCCTGTCAGACTTCTTTGCCGAGAAAACCATGACCTTTTTCACGGTGTCCTTCACATTGTCTTTCACAGCGTCTTTCGCGGTCAACAGAACCCCCTTTTCTTTGGAAATGCTAACTCTCACGACACTCGACCTCCTTCCGGTTATGGGGGCCTTCCTCGTGGAGGAGTTATTCCTATTTGTGGACACTCCTACTTTAGGTGACCTCGAGTCAGGGTTGCGAGTGTCGACGGGAATTGAGAACCTCGGCACTGTCTTAGCCGGATTGGGATCGGCAGGAGATGAAGAAGGCAGGCCCACTTTGACTGGACCTGGCTTCTTCTTCTCCTGAAGTGCAGGTTTCGGCCCGAGGACTCTCTTGGCGGGCTTGAAATTGTCGGAAGTTGTTAACTCCGGAGGGCTTAGCTCACGTCCGCGCGTAGTCGAAGGCGGAGCCGAGAGACGAGATTCCGATAACGAGCGCTTCCTCGGGTGAAGTGCACTTCTAGTCGCTTTCGCCTCTCCACCGGCCTTACTCCGAACACCTTCTGTGCTACCGCGTCCGGCGTGGGCCTCGAACAAAGAGAAGGGGCTGCAATTCAGCAGGTTTTCCTTCGACATTTCGAACGTGTCCCTCCCTTCTTTGCCGTGGCCACTCGGGATCTTCCCAGATCCTGCATTGCCCTTCACAACTCGAACAGAAACCACCGCCATCGAATTCCTGCCTGCGTCTCCTCCGTCGTTTGCGAATTCACATTCACCTCTGCACTCCCGTCGAGCTCCTCGTCCTCCTCCTCGTCGCAATGCACACGATCCGAACGCAGCAATGCTCCAGCTCTTCTCGGCTACGAATCCGTGCTCGAGCTCGCGCGGTCCGAAGGCTGATGCCGCAGCCGCTGTTCGAGCTGCTGCTGCTGCGGGCGCGGAGTGAGAGAATGAGTCGGACAGCAGATCACATGTTTCGGGGCCCAGAGACGCTGCGACGGACACCGTCTGCGCGTCGCAGCGTCGGATAGGTCGCGTCTGGGAAATTTGAAATTCGAAAGGCGCTGGCTCGACACCACAACCCGCGAACTCGCAAGGGTCCAAGACCGCACGGGACGGTCCCCCGGTACACCTGCCCGGTACTCCCGGTCGCTGCCATCGTGACGCTGGCAGCCTCGATGGTGTGACACGGCCGGTGGAATCCAGCCCTCCCCCCAGCTCGCTCAGTCTCTTTCAGCTCGTCTTCCTTGCCCCCGCTCCGTCTTGTTCGGCAGCATCTCCATCCAAATTAGGACCTCGTCATGACTTTCTGTCTCCAAAATTAGCATACCAATAATTCTTTCACCCACTTTTTGACTCATTGTATTTGGAAATCATTCGTCCCTTCTGTCTTATTATAGTCCCATCTCTCCGCCTGCCGGATATTCTCTAACCTCGAGATGTCGTCCAAGCCTGGGTGTTACTCTCGAGAAGAATACATGTCTCGGTGCGAATTTCAGCAGATTCTGGATGATTGAATCTGGTTTAGAATTTTGCAAAATCGCCAAAGGAAGAAAATAATGCAGCCTACCCTGACTCTCCAGTGGCAGACTGATTTCTCAATGCACAGCCTCTGTATGTGGAATTGACGTATGAGCTGCACTCTTAGCATATGAGATCCTTGTACATTTTTAATAACCCAAAGTTAGGGGGTTTGGGCAGAGATGTGACCGCGCTGGCTTTCCGAACGCCGATCAATTGGGGCCTTTATCCATTCTACCCGAATGGTTTCATCTTTGTACTAACTGGTTGATGGTGTCTTTACGTCACATACCCATCTATCGCAAACCTATAGCCCATTTTTTATGCCAATCATATTTTCCTTATATGGGTCAGTATAGTATTTTTCCAACCATTTAAACCGTAGCATAAGACATAATCAAGGGTTTTCGTCTAGACAATGAGCTATATGGAGATAGACAGACTTACATTGGAAAAAGAAGGGAAGACTAGAAAGGAAAGGAGGAGTCGGCTGGTTGTATCAGATAAATAAAAAGTAGGCCTTAGACAATGTCTTGTCAGGTTGTGTGGTGAGTAAAATATATGTGACAGACCAACAGATGCTTCCATGAGCCTTCAAAAACTAATATGCAGGAAAAATTTAATGTCGGAAGGTGCTTGTCGGGAATGGTCTGTATGTGGTGAAGGTGTTTGTCTGATTGTGATATGACAGATAGTTGGTAGAGAAAGTTTGTTCTTTATCAGACTTCGTTTATCATGCCCAAAAGCAACTTATAAGAGCAAAAAGATAAAAACTCAACTTGATAACGTATCATAAAGTTAATACGAAAGACTACGATCAATTATAAACTAGAGTGGAAGACTAACAAACCTATAAAGTGTTCTGCAAGTGAGCAAAGTAATCCTAATGACCACTGCTACAGTGGTTGCTCCTGGTACTTGTACTGAGTGTAGATTTGTTATGGAAAAATAAAGCTAATTATTCCATGTATTGTATCATTGCAATTGATAATGTCAAGTAGTAATTCAGTTGTGTTACTTTGTCTTAGCTAGATTTATCCATATGATATATAACATATTGTATTTTCTTGTTGGTACCTTCTTCATTATATTGTAATATATGTAGTGAAAGGAGCTAAACTATATATAAGAGCATTGATTTTGTATGATTAATTATTAGTTAACTTAACTCAAAAAGTACTATACTATTTAATCTCCTTACTTATATTCATCTTTATTTTTGAGAATGAAACAACTATATTATGCACCCTGGCGAGAGTTTGAAGCATTAAAAAAGGTCATTAAGACCTAGCATATTTTAAGAAATAAACTTAGCCGCGATTATAGTTAATAAAAATAGAGCTAGCACTATCACGTTTAAAGGCTTATGAAAATTGTATTTACGGCACATAAAATTTTGTTTGTATTGTGTGTAATATGATTATCATATTTTCTTAGTGAAGAATCTCTAATGCATTGCACAACATGTGAATTTTAGCTAAAAAACCAACACCTTTGAATTTAATTCATAACATTTTTTCTAAATAAATGATATTGCATTAATTTTATATTGACTAATTAATAGCTACAGATATGATAATTTCAATAAATCACATTCATTTTTATTTTCAAACATACATATATGCTCTTAAAAAAATGATTCCATTTTTAAATAGTTTTTTTAAGTGTCTTACAAAAATATATGTTTCATTTGAATAATGGACAAAATAATACTGGTATATAATTTTGAGAAAAATTGTTACTGGAAGGAGAATTTATTACAATTCATGAGCAATATTTATATTCAACTTTTGTTTTTGCAAGCTTCTATTGAGTGTTGAAAAAATTACATGTTATTTTATGATCAAGATGACATAACGTGAACAAACACATCAATATTCATCCTTAATAACAAAAGTAATTTATCTTTATCATGTGTGTTATACAATTTTGAAGAATTATTTTGACAAGTTTAAATATGTTCATTACTTACATAGCAACGTTAAATGTTTTGCTTTATTACACGGAAGTTGTTGATGTCAGTTTGCATCATATATCTCCTGAATCAAAACAAAATTATTCTTCATGGAGCATAATGTACATTTTTTTTTGAATGATAGTAATGACTATATATCATATTGATATTTATACCACTTCATAATTTATTCAAATTATTTAGTTGTTCAAATTGAAATCAAGGCACACCATTTTCAAAACTTCACATTTTTTTTATTGTTTTTTTGTTATTAAAGAACATTTTAATTGAAATTCTATTTTTTTATACCCGGATTGGTTGAACAAACCTAAAACTGTAATTTAGTATCAAATTTCATAGTCGAATTTCAATAATAAAATAGAAAATTTACATAGAATTTACAAAAATATTTCATGATTGTTGTATGGTGGATCAAATTGATTATATCAATTAGATAATTCATGATATTTTATAATTAAAATGACGTTGAATTGTATGAACTCCATTTGTTCATCTTTAAGTGTTTACACATTATTATTGATTTAATATTATAGATATTCAATGAAGAATTTAAAATCTGACATTGTATTACACAATATATTTATTTGAAATGATTTTGCACACACAAGGTTTATGGTATGTTAAAAGATTGTATGATCTCATTAGAAAAATCCGATAATCGATCCATGATAAAAAATTCTAAGACACAATTGGAAAATATTGTCAATTATGCAGTATTGATGATATTAGATGTATGATGTTGTTCATATATTAATAATTTTCTTTTATATATTTTATTTTGTCATAAGTCAGCATACGAAATTTGATTTTTAAAAATATGTTATTGGATTGTATATATTTAGTACACTTTATTCAATTAAAATAATATAATCCGGTTTAAAACTTTTTACTTCAACAAATTGATATATAACACATAAATTTATTTAACTTTTCAACATGTTAGTAAAACTTTAAAATCGTTGCAATCAAATTCTTTGATTTAAAATTTTATTTAAATTGAGATTCATTTATAATGAGCACATCAAAATGTGGATTCTTATATATTTTACATTCATTAAATGATTCTATTACAGAATAACATATGAGATTTTTAGAAACAAATTCATAAATAAACGATTTTAACACACATAGAAATTATGATCTTCAAACTATGACGTCAAAATAAGAAGATATCATTCTTGTTTGTTCATAAGTCTAGACATAAACACTGGAATCTAATATTATATTTTTGACTTCATGTATGAGTAGATTTTCATAAGGTTTGAAATCTGAATCAACTCCTTTGGATGAAAATCTGCTTTTTGTAAAATAGTAAGATTGTAAGATATATGTATGTATGTATATACACACATACACATATATAGGAGAACTTTCACTTTTAATAATATTATTATTATAAGTATATGATGTGTAGACATGTTGATTTTAATAATCGAGGCATTTTATTTGCAAAGAAAAATATTGGTTATTTATATGAAAATATGTAATCAAGAACCATGTAGACCTATTTAATTTCATCACTCTAAATATAAATCTTGTCATACTTTTCTTTACTTTGATATGGTTTTTCTTTCCTAACATATGCCACGTCCATGACACATATGCACGATCTGATATAGCAATTAAAGCAATTTGTGAAGTACTAGCTATTCATATTGGAACTGCTGAAAGAGTTGACATCTACAATGGATGAGACATAGGGGTAAAAGGTTAGAGTTGAATAAATTCTTTAAAAGTGATATATTTAGGGGAATGTTAAATCGAACACACAAATTGTTAAAACTGCCACATTGAGACCAGAGACAGCCAATGCTACATACACAGTGTTATTCACAGAATCTTCACGTCGCTTTGTAGCATTGAGTGTGAGCAAAGTCTTGACGCTTAGCACCGTATCTTCAAGTGACAAATAGTATGTTCAAGTGACAAATAGTATGTTTCTGGAGGTGGTAACATGGTTCTTGTATGAGCAGATTCATGTTTGGGGTTGAAAACGACATCAGTTGGATGTTTAGGAAGGAATGTAAGGAAGAAGCAGCCAGAGAGAACATATGTGCGAAAAAGTGAATTTTGACAGGTCATGTGACCGCGAGGCGACCTGTTAAACTTCAATGTCTCTGGTGTTAGTGAGGTCGTTTTAACATTCCCCCTGGATTTAAAGATTTCAATGACAATTCATCTTTTATGATATGATAATGAACTTCTTAATTTTTGGAAATTAATATTGACTATATTTGTGTTGGTGTGTGCACATATGTGGGACAACAATGACAATCATAATATTCAAGAGTAGTGAAGATGCTAATCATGTCGAAAAGTTTCACTGGTTTCCGTGATGAACTTGAGAATACAATCGCTTCTGTGTGAGTCTACCCACGCAAAAAAATTGATGTTGTTTGTTTGCATGAACATAAATATCTCGTAACTGGAATCTCGTGGGCTTGTCACCTGGCCTGAAATATTTTCGCCTGGAGTGGAGTGAGTGAAACGCGTGGTAGTACCACTATTCTCATGACAAGACAGACATTCGCCAGTCCAAGTTTCCATGCAGCACAATCAGCTGGTCCTCAAGCATTCGGGGTGAGAAACAAGAGCCCCCCATTTCTTCAGTTCAGTGTTTCTTCCTGAACATCGACTGCACAACTCAGACCAAAAGACATTGAGCTCCGAGTCTTCTCATCACAGCAAGTGTTCTGCTCCATGCTGTAGACTTCCTCTGTGCTCTTAGTTGTGACTGTACATCTGTCACTGAAGTTTCTACGCGTTTGTCGACAGCGAGCGAACACAGAAAGCTTTTTCTCGAGCACATACGTCGGATCGTCGACACCTACCATAACCGATGCTTGCATAGTTGTTGCATATGGATCTTTTGAGCCAGAACGTAATCATCTCATTGCAGGCCACTCACCCAGATCAACATTCGAACCTATCATAATGTATTCTGCTCCAAAAAGGATTGCAGTGCACTTGAAGGAATGCTGGGACGAATTGCGAATGTACCGCAGAGTACTGCACAGATCGAAGCACCTACACCCCTGAACGAGGTGCAACTAGTTTACTCTATGCTCCTCCGAATGCGCCTGGAGTAGCCTGGAAACCATAGACCCGATTCATATCATTAAAGAATGGAAGGAAGACAAATGTAAGCACACGGATTCCAAATATATACTGTACCCCATGGATTCTGTCTATCTTTCTTTGGTCTACATTCCGGTCTGTGATCTTCACGAGTACAGGAAGCATCCGTCCGCCATCATCGGAGAAAATTGAAACAAGGCTACGTGTTCATCGCTCGATATTTCCGTCTCAGCCATTCTTCTTGGCCACTGACACCGGCTTGAGGAGCGGCGGCGAATAGCGACGTCCGCCTTTGCGATCTACTTATCTGGGTCGAAAGAAGGATAAGTATGCTGCTAGTTATGGTGGGCAGATTTCACGCTTCGCTCCCATGAGTGAATATACAATAAAGTGTCGATATCTTTTCACCGGGTCGGCAAGACACGCAGTAATGTCTTGCCGGCTCGAAGAGACTCCAGGCATGTGCTCCAGTCATCCGGATTAAGCTTCCCTTCAAAGATATACGTGTCCAAGCAAGGAGGGGACCATAGACTTGCTTCTGATTACAGCGAATTAGGAAGTGAAGAATCATTAGCACTTCACGAACTTCGACGTATACAACACCAATTTGTTCCTCACCCACGAAGAGGTTCGTATTTTAAATACTTCGTACGCCTTGAAAGAGAAAACTTCAGTCCGGACAGGCGAAAGAAAAACGGCCAGAGGCCATAAGTGCATACAAAAGACAGACCGAAAAAGCACATGTGGGTGCAAGGTTGGTCGACATAGAACCGCTAAAGGTCAGGCAACGTGCATGACATTGAAGTTCGCGCAGAAAAGTGCTTGGATGGAAATTGTTACTGTTTTGATCATGATTGTCACATACATATTCTTGACCAAAGACACTTTGAACAGAAGCAAGTTTGTAGGGCATTGAAACAAATGCAGAAGAAATAACCGTGTTCAAGTCTTCCATTCCATTCCATTCCAATCTGAATATATGTGTATAATTCCTGCATTTGAGTTGGTTTAGTCAATTTCGTTGAATCGCTTCGTTGCAACGCAAAGACGAGGCAGATATACAAGGGAGACGGGATGAAGTAATAGAGGGAGAACAAAGAGGACTGATTGTGAATGAGGATCTTTGGGCCTCACTTATTGTGGAATATGTCTCCTTAGATGAGGTTAGTCTCTTTGAACCAACCAAGAAACTTCTCACTAGCTCGTCCACCAGTTAAAAGGCCATCCAATTCCAAACTACACTAGAGGGACAATAGAAAGGCAGATGCAAGGATTTCCTGCTGATGACTTCCACCTTCTTCGTGGTCAACAATATCAAAATACATCTCTGCTTAACGATCCTATACACGCTTGGATCACTCATGCTATAAACTTTGCTGACAAGATATTTACAGAAATCGAATTGCCATCGGGTTTCCGAAAGTTGCTAAGCGAAATGGGAAATGAATTGATCCTTCGCTTCGGAGTAACTACGAAATTTCTTCGAGAAGAGTTTTGGCCGTCTTCAGTTCTGCATATGTCACAACAGCAGCAATTTTCATATAGTGTAAGAACTGAAATTATGACGATAATCACGACTGTTGTCATGCATCAAGGCAATGCGTACCCACTTCATCAAGCTGCATTTCAGATATCTGCGTGTAGTCTCGTTAAACAAGGGTCTGGCAGACACGAACGTAGAGAGGCACAATATCAAGGTCATAAATCTTCACTACGTCTTCTCTTTTCTTACAATTCACAGAACGTCGACTCTCCAGATCGAAAGACTCTTGACCAAGACTCTGCGGATACCAATACAGACTAAATGTAGTCCCAGTATACCGACAGGGTAACCCACCATGAAGCAGAAGATGGAACTTCTCTGCAGTTAAACAAAGCTGCAACTTTTGGGAGGTCTCTTCCTTTTGATCCACGCTATTCGTTGTAGTCAATCTCATGATCACGTTTTTTGATTCGCCCACTTGCACTTGCCATCCTCCAATCTGCAAAGCTGGTACTGCAAAGTTCACAACAACACACTTTAGTCACTATCACACTTTTATGACTTCTGTCCACTATCAGAAAAATTCCTTGGAAAAGTACAATTGACGATTTCCCTCCTTGTAAACTGAAACTCAGTGACAACAGGTAAGAAAACAGTTCGGAAGCACGTAAGAGACAGTGTCGGCGCATTTGCTCTTATGGAAATATGTGCTAACATTTTTTCAAAAACACAACGATTTTCCTTGTGACGAGGAAGCTTTGCTTTAGCACGTCTGATTTGCACATGTTTTTTTATGTACCAATGCATGTATCATCCAGGATACGAGTATTCCAAATTGTTCAGAAAGAGTATACAAACTCTTGCGGTAAAGGTTATACGTCTCAAAAGGGGTTAAAATCTGTGAAGAAAGGGCCTCTTACTCCGCAAAGCTTGCTCCAAAAATTTAGCTTGTAGAGAGTCCTTGTTTTGAAGATAAGGTGTGCACAAAGCATCGCTATGCTCTGAAGTATATAAAGAAAGACATCAAGAGCAGGGCGCTGCAGTCAGAACGGGTATTCGTATACACAGCTAAATTTCTGGGCAAATGACCACACATACATAACTTTGAAGCAAACTCACTCTAATCATTTCTGAGAAAATTAACTGCACGTGAACTCACACCGGTGCTATGAATATCTCCTCCATACTGCAGGAACGAATCGTCTACAGGAATCAAAAAGTGATCGTCTGCAATACTTTGATTTAATGAAGATTCTTGCTACAAACTTCATCCAATTTTTTTAAGTTGTGAGTGTTTATAGTAGAGTGTTCATCCACCTTTTGGTAGTCCAAGTTGTTGCAGCTCCTTCGACAACGTGGAATCATCGACGTCGAACTTCGCAGCATTCGCGACGAAAAAATGCAGAACTGCTATGCATGCTTTAACCTCGGATTCCCCTGCATGTTATCTGCTTGTTATTAGATGGTTAAATGGAGAAAAATCCGAGCAACCTCCATCTCTATCGATTCTACAGGATTTTTGAGCTATATGTGATTACTCAGAACACCTAAGAAGTTAGAGAAATGAATCATTAAGATGAGATTGGAAGTATTTCAAGATCAAAGCTTATTGAAGACCATCAAATAATGTTGACACTGAGTATGGAAGAAAAATGTCCAGCAGGAGATCCACGGTGCCCGCAGACTGACCTACCCAGCGAGGAATCTTTGGACAGCTTCAGCACCTTCTCGTACTGCAACAGATTTTTCGACCATTAACATGAGGACAACGCAAACGACGTACATTGCAAATATAAGGAAAATGTCAAAAACTTAAGTCACTTAAAGGAGTAGGTCTCGGGGTGACACAGTTCACGCTCAGATACATTCACTCATAAAATTGGCTGGCTTCTCAGTTTTGAAAATTTGAGACGCTTCTAACGGAAGGCAAGTACAATAAATTCTATGAGATACGCGATTGACTGACTACTCACATCGAAAACTCCTTCCAGCATTCGATCAATGATATGCTTGGCCAGCACCTTGATTCTCACGGACGACTGTCAAATTACAAAGAGGGGGTATCAATTTTTGCTTTTGGAAAACCTGATCAGCAAGCTGATCGCGGTTCATGTGCAACAACGCCATTCCAAAGAGCTAGACCATCCAATCTCGCCCGCGTAGGATCTTTCGCAGAGAAAACTGTCCCTCGTTGACCACCTGCCCCGCGTCGCAACCAAATTTATATGCGAAAAATGGGCAAACAAAGTTTTGTTTGCCCATTTTTAAACAAGAAAAGTTTGAAGGTACTGCTACGCCGCTCACGAACCACCTCACAAGTTGGAGAAATAACCACGAAGAACTTTAAAAATCCTTCACAACCCACTGTTCATCAACAGCAGGAGAAATTCCGCATTCCCCAACTGCTTTTGTGTACGTCTCTGCCCTTGCAGAAGAACCCCGTGCCTCATGGAATTCGAGAGAAGAGCAAGACGTAACTCACAATTTTAGATAAGGTGGACATATTAGCCAGAATCCAGTCGGGGGCATCTAATCCACCACACACGTTGAACTTCATCTCGACTCTTCTTGGGACCTGCACGCCTGCCGATCTCGTTCGATCCCTCCCCGCTCTGGCACTCGGATCCACTCGCACAGCGCTCGCTCGTCCGTCGCTCGGGGAAGCGCGGCAAGGCCTCCTCCTCGTCCTCGTCCTCCACCCGTGAAGTGAAGAGCCCCTGCCCACTGTGAGTACACAGTCCGGTCCTCAGGGCGCGACATTGAACAGAGCAAGTTGCTCCTCCATCCCGACGCCAACTGTTCGCTGTACGCGGATTCGAGCTCGCGACGTCCTGCTGCGTCGAGAATTTTGGCTGGAAAGTGCTCCGCTAATAATCTGTCGACACGTAATGGGGACATTTCATGGGTGTGATTGTATCTGTATGTTGGGACTACGAGGCATGATTCTTCAATTCTAGCACCCGAACTGTTCTAATATCTACGTACATACAAAAACGTGTGTCCATCGCATCTTTACACTCGCTCCCATCTGTCTTACGATTGAGCACTTGTAGACTACTAATGTTTGCAATTTTGCTGCCTTGTATGTGACAAGTGTCGCGGTGATTTCTTCCAACTCAGTTGTTTACGCGTCTTGGTTTGCTATGTTTGCCTGCAATTCATGTTGAAACAATTACGTTTCTCTCGCAGCAGAACGTCAGGAATAGGTTTATGTGTCAAAAAGGGATTAACAAGATCCCTCGGGACAAAGTGCTTGACAAATATATGTGCCTTGAACATGTGAAAAGAATGATTTATGTAATAATGCATGTAACATTTGAATATAGTATGTAAGATTTATTTCCATGTTGTCTTGAAACCAAGAAGAAAGCAAGCTCATTCGAGACATTACATGCAGTACAAACTTTTTGTGAAATTTATGAATTGAATATACGACAAATCCTTTGAGTGTCACTCACTCTGTTTCCTGAACCGATCTGAATCACAATGAGATTGTTTTACTTATTTTTCAACTAAACGAACAAGATTACGAAATCTTGACTGATAGAACTTGAGTGAATATTTAAAACTCTTCCAAATTACGTTTCAGTTCAATCTTTATCTCCTAGCAGTTAGTAGTTGTGGAATGCCCTTTGGCAATTAGTCTGTAGCAGTCGCGTCACTTGAGAAGCCCAACCAGCTTCACTATTTAGTTGTAGGTGCATAAAAATGATTTTTTTTTTTGAGATGTTTATATTCTCCTTATGTATTCACATGGTATTTTTTAGTAAGAATACATTTTTTCCTTCTTCTCAAACTTATAATTGTCTATGAATACGTGTTCTTATAAATGCAAATCTCGAAAGCAAAGTCTATACAACTATTTTGTGAATAGTCGTCATGATGATGTCACACGATAATAATTGTGATCCGTTGTTTGGCTGTTTATGTCAAGACAAAAAAGAACTAATTTGGAGTAAGTTGTTTTTCATTTTATTTGGAAAGAACACTACTGGAAGAACGAATGAAGTTTTTCTGTGGAAGGAAATTGTCTTCAAGATGGAAATGTAGAACTTAGAGGTGGTGGTAGTGAAGGAAAGACGGGAGGGAGGGAGGGAGTGCAAGATTACACAATTCTTGTAAGACGTCCAACCAAAGGTTTGAAAGATAGATCAAAAGAGAAGTTTAACCGTGTAATGATCCTCTTCAGACCTTTTTGACTCCTAATGTTTGAAACACTAGAGGAGTCTGCAAAGCTCTTTTAATAAGTCACATACGAAGTACAAGGGAATGACAAAAGCCACCATGATTAGCCAAATGTGATGGAGACAAATCTGAAAACATTGGGCTCTGAAGCTGCACACGGAAATCAGATGATTCTCCACTCCGTAGTATTATATATGTTATGAGAAGCTGCACGTGCACAAATGGGTAGCACATTCTCGTGGCTTATATTCCATAACAACGAGCGCATTTTCTGAGGATGCAAGCCCTTACAACGAGAGTATCTATAATCCAAATTGTTCAATAAGATACTCAGTGAAGTCGCAGGAGGTCTAACACAGACAGGGAGGGAGCAAACAAAGGGATGGCATGTTGGACTCGGCAATTGTTCTTAAAATTTATCGAAGTCCTGTCAAATGAGCAATCTTGTTGTGACTCCGTACCGTCCGAGACCATGAGAGGACGGATGGAGAGCAAGAGCAAGAGAGAGAGACATGGAGAGAGCGACGGAGCACGTAAGACGACGACGGACATGGATTATGGAGGAGTCATGACCGGAGGGAGACATGAATGGTATCGATGGGCTGATATTCGGATGTTGCGTGATGATGGGTTCCGATATTCAAAGTCTCCCCAGACAGAGAGAAGGGAGGGGGGGGAGGTATGGCATGTTGGGCGATGGGCTCGCTATTTATACATGAGCGTATAGCGCATGGGCTGATGCATACGGTACATGCGCGGGCGCGCGGGCGGGCCATCATCAGGTTCTTTTTCTTTGGAGATCATGAGCAGCTCACCATATCCGCACGCAGCCGCTCACCAAGTTGTCGGCCTCGTACGGACATCCGAGGCAGCGGGCAACCGGCAAGGCGAGCACAAGGCCACCGGGAGCCCTGGGGCCGAGCCTGCGAGGATGCGAGGGCTGGAGCGCGATCGGTCGCGCAGGGTCGAGAGGTCGCCATCGGAGGAATGGCGCTCTGGCGCGTGGTAGGTGGCGGAGGCGACTCTGGCCACGGTCGCGGTTGGCCCCTAACCGTGGTCGGCGAGTCCGGGCTTTGGCTGGGCTTTGGCTGGGCTGGGGCTGGGCTGGCCGAAGTGCAGCGACAGCGACGGGGCCAGGGACAGGGACAGGAGAGGCGGAAGGCCCAAGTATTGTACCCACCGTGGACGAAAAGGACTGGGGACCCGAGCGACAGACATTGCGAACTAAACCCGCTCGCTCGCAAGAAGAGCAGAGCAGGGACGGAAAGCAGCAGCAAAGACAAAGACAAGAGAAGGGAGGGGGAAGAGAAGCACCAGCACCATCACCAGCAGCAGAGAAGAGAGAAGAGAGAAGAGAAGAGGAAGGCGAGCGAGAGCAGAGAAGAGAAGAGAAGAGAAGAGGCAAGGCTCGAGAGAGAGAGAGAGAGAGAGCAGAGAGAAGACTCGCTGCTGGCTTGCTCGCTTGAAGCTCGCTGCTGCTGCTGCTGCTGCTGGTACGGGTCTGCACTACTTGTGGCCAGTGGGCTGGCCTGCTCGAGGCACAGCGGGAGGGAGCATTTTCGCTGCTGGTTGGCGTGCTGGTTCGTTGGAGCGCAGAGAGAAAAGGACTGGGGGAAGAAGAAGAAGAAGAAGAAGAGAAGACGACGAAGCATAAAAGAGAAGAGAGCAGAGAAAGAGCTTATCTGCTGTTGGTGGTCGCTCAGAAGCTGGGCTGGTTTGGCACGGCTGTCTGTTGGGGGTGGGGGGCGTCCATGTGGGATTATTAAATTCTTGAGTGGCTGGGTCGATGGTGCTTTTGCTTCTTCTAATGGCGAGCGAAGAATTTCCGAGCGTGTGCTTACAGTCCGGCTGATCTGGGGTCGAGGAGGGAATTTTTTTCCAGAGGGATTAGCATTGCGGTGCGAAAAATAGAACCGGGTGCCTTGGTGGTGCTGCTGAGAGGGGACGATTATCAGCGGGTGTCGCGTGGTGGACAGCTTGGGTGTGATAGAGAGAATCAAATTTCTCCTGCTCACAAACTCCTCATTCTTTCGGGTTGGTGGGCTGTTAACGCTGCTTCGTGTTGTAGAGCGCTTGCATATCATTATCGTTGTGGTTGACTTCAGGATTGAGTGCCTGCGTCTGTTTTCTGAGTTGCTGTGTAATGTCCGAGGTCTTAAGATTGCCATGGTGTGTTGTGTTGCTGACGTGGGTCGCCAGATGGGGCGGGCTAAAGTTTTGACGAAGAAACTGCCTGTCGCGACTCCCAAAGAGGTGCTCGAGAGCACGGCGTCGAATCCTGTCCCTGTACAAAGAAAGAGAGGACGGCCTCGAAAAGTTGCGAAGGAGGAGCTCCCTGTGGAGGAGAAAAAAGTGGAGGAAGAAACAGTCCAGCTGACTGAGAGTGTGGATGCTGGAAAGAAGCGCAAGAGGCCGAAAAAGCTCGGCGAATCAACAGAGTCAGGGCCCGAAACCAATGGAGGAGCGATGAAGTTTGTCGAAGAGCCAGCCAAGCCGCAGATCGTTAAACGAGAAGGAAGTAGGCGGAAGAGTGAACCACGACGAGCTGCAGGTGCTTGTATTGATACGCTGTGATTCCAGTTTGTGGGTTGGGGTGCTCTGAGATTTCCCGATTGTGTGTGTTTCATTGCAAGTAGATGTTTACGCTCAGACCACGCAGTCTTCGGATGGGGAGCGAGAAGCTTCGATTGTACAGGGATGTCGAAGATATGCGAGCACAGCTGAGCCAAATTCTCGCTCGTTCATACAGGATTGTTCAATCCTCATGGCCGCTGGCACTGGCTCTGGCCAAGATTCGCTAGACTGCAATAGTTTATAGAGCTCTGGAACTATGACAAGTGTATGCTTGATGCGCGCACATAACTTTTAGACTCAGAATTTGGGCATGTAAACATATTTGGTGTTGAGATTCCTCTCAGCGTTTGGGCCCTCCCGCCTCGGCTGTGCAGGGTTGTTTTTGCAGTAGAAGCATGTGATTCGTTTGGTCGATGGTGGTTGGTTGACGTTGTACCTTATTCAATCCATTAATGCATCTATGAATGGACATCGCGTCCTTCAAACTACGGAGAGCTAGCACTGCGGCTACAACGTGGCAACCAGAATTCCCCGATCCGTTAGTAGAGCTTCAAATTTCTTGTATGATTTATAAATTTTACAATGTATCTTATGCAATTTTTGAATTCTGGTCATTTCGCTTTCGTTGTGCGAGCCTCATCTGATGATTTTGTGCCTATTTTTGTGCAATTTCTTTACTAATTCGGAGAGCTTTGTGTCCGCTGCCAACGATCCATATTAGTAGCATCAGCAACGCACAGCGATGAATAGGGAATTTCAGTTGTCGAAAGCACAGTGCAGGCAAGCAGTTGGCTGGATACCAGAAGAAGCTTTCATCATGTGATTCGTGATGGTGGTTGCTAGTATGCTATGGCGATTCAGGTCATGGCTACCTGCTTATGTTAATTCTCTCTTCTAAAGTAACGTGGTCCTAGGGTGTATCTACTTTTGGGCGCTGGTTGTCAGTTTCCTAGGTCGATCTCCATGTCATCGATGTTAGCTGTACTGTCATATGTGCGAAGTCACATGTCAGTTACGTTTCAATCCAGTCTTAGTGCTCTGGGAATGAATTCGTGAATGTTAGCCACTTGTCTCTCTGCCTCTATCCCGTCCCCTCTTGCCCTGTACCTATCTGTTGGCTGGCTGTATGTCTGAATACTCGGAGGTACAATCGCCAGTGGTAGCTGAAGCGGTAGTCAAATTGAATATCCGAATGCTTCTACTACTTCTTCTGGTACGTAGACATCTGCCTCGCCTTTAGCGACCTTTTGATGGGTTTTGCCACGAAAAGAAGCTTGGCCTGTCCAAATCTCTCTGAAGGTTTTTGATAGGGAATCAATTCAAGCGACTCGCTTGGAAGTTTGATTTCTGGATTATCATGCCAGCCTTATAAACATGGACAGGCCTAGACTTTCTTACTTCCAATTTGAAGGGGTTCAGAACTTATCTCTACTGTTAAGGTTTTTGAGCAAATACTGTTGATAACCTTCTCGAAGTATTTCATACTTGCAAATCATGATAGTGATTTCTTTCACATTGCCAGGGTGATCCGCGGATGGCCAGTAGGGACGTAGAATATATGGCAAACGTTTCGTCTACCAAGTCAGTACTCCGCTAATTTTTTTCCCTAAAATATGTCGGGACAGAGATATACATGTTTGTGTATGTATATTGTTAATCAACCTGTCACCGAGTGCTTCAACAGGATATCACGGACATGCGAATCCGTTGCAACGGATTCACCATCTCCTTTTCATCCAATAGAGACTTTATAGCCCGCACCTTTATGGCTGAACTTCTGAGAGATGGTAATGGTTGTGAGTGAATGAAAGCTGATGATCATTTACTTCACGAATGCATTGCAGAATGTGGTAATTCTGAATCAAGCAGCTGTGTCTTTCATTGCACTAGCGGTGCAAATATATTCTGCTACTGTTTGGGCGTAAGCTTGTTCGTCCAGAATTGTGTCTGCCGGCTTGCCGTCCATATTTTGCGGTTATCAATCGGGAAATTTTGTACAAAAGCTTTGATCGAAATGAGTTCGAAAGATATTGAGGGTGGATGATAGATATAGAAATCTTGTAAGGAAATGTCCATGTTATTGAAAATGTGTATCCTAGTCGGTAAATCATTTAAAGCATTTTTTCTAGTTTTGAATGTGATTGCAGAGGTGGATATGAATTATATCCACTGTAGAATAGAACATGACTTTAGGTTGTGATACTTTTCTGTGTTTCCAAGTGTGTAGTTTATGAAGTCTTTCTACCTGTTCTTCAAGCAGTCCACTCGTATGGAGGCCAGGGATGAGGCTGTATTATTACTACTATTATCTTTCATCTTCATCAGAGAACTTTATTAAAGACATGTGAACTTTCTGTTCAGGCGGAACATGAGGGGTTATGGTCCTACTTTTGGCGGTTACTTTGTAAATCTCGGCAGTTTTCATAGTTGTCACTATGAAATGAGTTATGGTATGCCCACCTGCAGTCTTTGAATGCGAAACAGCGGGAAATTCTGGAAGCACTGGCGGAATGCCACAGAGGGTGTTTATTTTCACAGATGTTAGGTTTCTTCATAGTGTAGATTCAAAATCAGGTGAAATTTATTCGAAATTGCTCTCAGGTCGTGATCACTCCAAAGGAAGAAACCTGTGTTTAAGTGGATGATCCATGTATAAAAAATTTAGTCCCGCATTTATTTCTGGATTTTCCGACTTCTCCACCGCCATTCTAAGCATTCAGAATCAGTTGAGATCTAAAATGTCTGGTTCTATCCGATCGATTCTTCATTGTTACATCACACGAACAACTTAGCATGCTCGGTCGTCTTCAGGGCGATTTTAAAGACGTGAACACTCTCCACCCGCGAAGGTATTCGTACACAGCAGCACACGCACAGCAGCCACCTTTCATGGACTAAAACCTCGACCACAGCGAGGATGAAGTCTGGAATGACCCAATCTCAGGGCTGTACATGCCGAGAAGATTCATGTGAACTAAAGATGCCGAGGTTCGCAGTTAGTTTCCTGAAGACAGTTGGAACAAATAGTGGTGGGGGTGGGGGATATGAAGACAAAGTACCCGCCCCCAAAGCAGAGGAGAATTGACTGTAGCGGTCCGTCCGCTTTTGGATCGAAGCAAACGAACGGGTCTTCGGGTCTCTGCGAGTGGAGACACGCAACCGCACCTTGACAAGTGTGCAGGGACCTATTCTAGAAGTTATCTCGCTGCTCGCCGTAGGGCGGTTAAGAAGTCCGGAGACCGAAACTTGGCTCATCATCTCGGGTTCCGAAGCTTACTGTAATGTGTGGCAACGATAACCACGTGAACCGTAACTCGTCCACAGTTCGACCTCGACCATTGACATTGACCATGTCATTGTGAAACTGAGTAGCGCCGGAGTTACCGTCGACCGAAGCTTGAATGATAAAACGAAGCTGGCATGTGATGGAACGTGTGTTTGCCTTTCTCGACATGACGTGTTCGTCGTCGTCATCCTGGTGTACAGTACACGTACTTGACACCATCTGTGACCTGCCCCAACTCTACACGCTGGATGTGACCTGGTGTCAAGTTAGGCAACGTATGCTTGAAATAGAGACTCCTAATGTCTCGGTTGTATCCCAGTTAACCCGTTCAACGTGTGGAGCATCTCCGATCCAAGTTCAGTCGTCCAGTGATAGCACGAGTTAAATCTCAAACTGTTTTCGAGGACGAACATTAGCAGATTCGCACTTGGAGAAGTCGAGGATCAACTCTCCTTCTTCCTTAGATCTTCAGGCTGCCACAAACCTACTAGTTCGGTTTGTCTGAATTTAGTAGTTCAGCGGTTCTCATAGTTTATTGTTTATGTTTATTATTCACACTGAATCTTTGCATTCTTTCCGATTTCCCTCAGTGCTCTTTCCTCACTTTCCCATTGGTTAGGTCTTTTGGATTGTATCAGTGCACCTTTTCTCCTTTTCCAGGCCAGAAAGTGAGAACAAAGCTAGAGAGCTGTAGACCCTTTGTTACATGTCGAATAGTGAAGCAATAAGTCCAGCCCCAATTATGGGGTTTACAGGCGAATATTCATTTTTTAAGAGATAAGTGAAGTCGCTCGGGCTCCTTTGACCTTGGCTTAACCTGTAACTACACCCGCCATAAAACTTGGACCGTAAAGCGCTAAGCGAAAAAGATACTGAATTTTGGCCTCTGCGCTCACAGGGATTCAGGGACAGCCCAGCAGGCCATGGCAGCTCGAGGTTAAAATGCGCATCTCCAGTGACTTCTTTTTATTAGCTCGACGAAGTTAAACTTTTTGGACTTACGTGGCGTGGAGAGTATTTCGAAGTGTGTATACTTACCCAATTTATCATGGATTTGTATGTTCTGTCACTCGAGAATGCTAAACAAAGTAACTAAAAAACTTGGGCCATAGATCTGTTCTCAGTCGTAACTAAGTCAACCTTTGTGAAAGCCATGCTTCTCTGGGAGAGATAACTTCCAAATATGGAAAGATACTGCAGGCTTGTATCTTGAAATAACATGTAACTGTTCAATGTATACGTGACAAGTTTCACATTCTAAGTTTGTCGAAGAGCACAGGATAACTTTCGTTCCAAGATTCAGATCCAAGTTACACGTATGATATCAGGTAGAGGATACCCACTAAAGACAAGAGAAATGTAGTGAAAAGATTGATGAACAGATGCTCAAGTGTTTGGCGTATGCACTCATCGATCTAACTTCTAAAAAAATTGATCAGGTAAACTACATAAAGAAGGGATTATTTCAAGAGAAATTACTGAATGTAATTTTCAGATTTTTTTAACGTTTTCATTATCATGTCACTTTCAGAATTGAAGATACGCAATATTGTTAAAAGAATGCTCAACGCGACGATTAAACCTCCCTCTACATGATAGCTACAGCTAGCCAAAAAAATTCAATTTTGCGCCTTGTATCGTCTAGTTGTACGTTCCTCATGTATTACTCCTTGGTAAGCTTTGTACTTACTAACTGAATTCTTTCTCCTTCTTAATGACCAAAGAATAAGAACAGAAAAATGGAACAGCCATACATCAGGTTCTCCGACCTCTATTGAATCAATCCATTATCCCATTCCGTATATTATTTCAGATTCAGGTTTCAAACAAAAGAGGAAGACGCTTAAAGGAATGAGAAACTAGATCGAAATGACGTCAATCCTTACTTCCATGAAATAAACCTTACACGAGATTGAATGGAATACGATATAAAAATCTCAAGAGAGGCCAAACGATGGTCATCAAAAGAGTTGGAGCCGCTTACAAACATGTGAACCATGAGACTTGCAGGAATGTTTGTTGGGTATTGAAACATGGATGAAGATAGTCTCCCGATGACTACAGAATGTGTACGATGTGTTGTTAAATTGTCTACTCATCAACCACCTTTCACATGAAGCTAGTTTCAGGCCAATTCCAGACGGTGTTGATCTTCTCTGGAAGGCCTCGAGTGCATCCCATCCAAATCAATGCACTCTTGGGTTTTCTCAACTCCTTGCAACTTCACGACCGGAGCTTGACATTCTAGAAATTACAGGACCTCCGTGTTCCCTCTTATTGCCTCTTGTCGTCGAGTCTCGTGTTTGACTGCTTGTCATGTCCCTAACTGC